TTTCCATTACTGCACCTTAAGAACCTGGACCGCCTTTTGTGATTTTAAGTATTTGTTTTGTTTTGTTTTTGAGTCAAAAATCTCCATGTTACCTAAGTTGACGTCAAACTCATGGTAAGCTTAAGTGATCCTCCTATGTAGCTCATGGTGGCTCAGGTCTCTTAATTCCAGGTCCTGGGAGGCATAAATGTAAAGCTAATCAGAGCTACACAGTCAATTCCACAATACTGCCCTCCCCCACAAAAATATTAACTTTGAAGTATCTGAAATACACAAGGGACAAAACACATATAAACACACACACACACACACACACACACACACACACACACACACACACACCATATATAATGAATGAAATAACACTATGGACATAACCCATTAAGCATTGGAGAAAATATTAAGCTTTTCACAAATACATAGCTTTTCTTGTCACATAGCCTTACAAAGTCCATTCCAATACAAAATAAGAGACAGGGAACACTTGTAAAAGCATTTGCTGCTGGGGGGGGGGAGGGGGGGGCCGGGGGCGGGATTCTGGTTCCATTCTCAGCAGTCATAGTAACTCCAGATCCAAGGCTCTCTTCTCAACTCCATGGATGCCAGGAACACACATGGTATATATGCATATATACAAGCAAAATACTCATATACATAAAACAAAATAAATCTAAAAAAAACAACAAAACATTTTTACTAAGATCCTACAGTCTATCCTGTTAAAATACCTTCTCCAAAATAAGTTAACTGTCTTTCTTAATCCTTTTTTAAAAATACACTAATTATATTTTTAATTTCTAAGAGTAGATTCACTGGTAGTCATCAAAGGATTTCTGAATTTTACATCCAAAAGGGTTTTTTGCATTTATATACACCCCAAAATGGCATCAAGACCTTTTCACAGAAATTCCCTACACGTAAACATAGTAGTGCCATCCTGGGATCAAAAAACAAAGCAAGCTAGGCCTGGTAACAAACATACTACAGAAACATATCCCAAAACAAAGTAAGAAATTCAACCAATGTTTGCTTCCTTACATCAGAAGCATGCATTTTGTTTTGTTGGGTTTTTTTTAAGACATAGTCTCACTACACTCTGTAGTCAAAGTTGGCTTTCAACTCAAAGATTCATCTGCCTCTGCCTCCCAAATACTGGGATTAAAGGCATGTTCCACCACACCCAGCATGAAGGCACTTAAAAAACAAAAACAAAAAACATTTATTACTTTTATATGCATGTGTGTGTGCCTAAATGAGTTTACGCGCACCACATTCATCCAAGAGCTTGCAGAGGCCAGAAGGAAGAGTTGAATTCTCTGGAACTACAGTTAAGGGCAGTTGTGAACTGTCATTCAAGTACTGAGAACCAAACCTGGTCTTCTGAAAGACTGGCAAGTGCCCTATTTCCTCAGCCTGTGAAAACATTTTTAAATATATAACCTTACATACAATATATACATTTTATAGCTTCCTAAGAGTAAACAGGGCAGCAGCATAACTCAGTCAATGCACTTGCTTCAAAAGCCTGCAGACCTGAATCTGATCCCAAACTACCCAAAAATGGAGGGAGACGGCAAACTCCAGAGTTGTGCTCTGACTTCCATAGCGTACCACGGCAGGCACGCCCTCCTACACATAAAAATACAGTTTTAATTAAAATAATAAACATTATCAAAAACCCTTTGCAATTAAGTTGCAAAATCTAAATTCCTCCTCCTAGTCTGGAGAGTCCTGAACAATATGCAAATCCTAAATTCAACTAGATTAAAATCTCTAGAACAACAGAGACTACATATTATTCATATTAAATGTTCTCCATGTAGGAATAATGAAACATGCAAACTAAACAACAAAAGTAACAAAACTAAACAAAAATAAAGAATGGGGGGAAAATAACTTTGAATCATCTGTCTCAACATACAACTGGAAAAAAAAGACACTATTTCTCAAGAACAAGAATGTAAAGATGTTGCAAAACAAGCCAAAGATGCTGGTGCTACATTACATATCCTAATTAAACATAACTCACAGTGGTTTACCAACTACAGAAATACATTACGAGAAGATACATTCTCTTTGTCCTTTTTGGTTTTTTGAGAACATCTCACTCTACAACCCAAGCTGGCCTAGAACTCACTATGCAGGCCAGGCTGGCCTTGAATTCATAATAATCTTCCTGCCGAGGCTTTTCTAAATGCTCTGAAGAGTCACCATGCCTGTCTTGAGGGCAAATTTAAAACCCTGATCCTAAAGTTCTCCTGGTGACACATTCAAGTAGTATCACAACCTTCGCCTTCAAACTTAACACTGCCATTTCTACAAATGAACGGAGAGAGTGGGTATCTCAAACAAGACCTAACCAACATTGGTTCTACCTCGGTACAACTTAAGTTCCTGAAAGCATATACATACTAGCAAGGTGTAGTGGCACATGCCTTTAATCCCAGCACTCAGGAAGCAGAGACAGGTAGATCTCTGAGAGTTCGAGGCTAGCCTGGTCTACACATCCAGTTCCAGGATAGCTAGGGCTACACAGTAAGATTCTGACTCAGAAAAACAAACTGAAAGAATATACAAAGTTCATGTGATTGTACTGATCCTCATTTTTTAATGAAAGGTTTTCTATTTCTTCAGATTCTCAGGATAAATTTATATATATATATATATATATATATATATATATACAATCTAAACACCACTAATCTAGACTAAGAAACATCCTAATAATAAGAGTTGAGTTAGTTCAAAGATTCTTTCCTCATATTCATAGAGGGGATCCTTGCTACAAAATTAGTCTTTCGAAGAATTCCTACAGTCCAGCCAAGAAGTTCCAATATCCAAAGGCACATATCAATAATTCACAGATCCCAAAAACAGTTTACTCATAAATGCCAAAAGAAACTGCCAAAGAAGCCAGGCAAGTTGGCTCATGCCTGTAATCCCATAAGGCTGTGGCAGGAAGATTACAATTCTCAAATTGGAGGTCAGCCTGGGCCACATAATGAGTTCTGGGCCGGTTTGGGCTATACATTGAGATCCCGTTTCAAAGACAACAAAAGGAAAATGTTAAAGATGGTAAACTCTATTACAACACATCATCCTGCTGGTTTAAATTTTTTACAAGACGTGTGTGTGTGTGTGTGTGTGTGTGTGTGTGTGTGTGTGTGTGTACACATATGCAGGGACAGAAGCAGAGGCCAGAAGAGGGTGCCAATGCCCTGGAGCTGGAGTTATAGGCGGTTATGAGCCAGCTGAAGTGGGTGCTGGGAACTGGAGCTTGGGTCCTCTGGAAGAACAGTATATGCTCAACTGCTGAGCCATATCTTCAGCCCCTTGTTTTGTTTTCTAAGATACAGCCTCGTGTAACCCAGGCTGACTTTAAACTTACTATGAAGCATAGGCTGGGCGTGAACTCATGAGCCTCCTGCCTCAGCTTCAAGAATGCTGGGATTACAAGCGAGAGCCACCACACTCAGACCGATTTTGTGGTTTCAACTCCACAATGATTTACTTGTTCTCTCAATATGTGACAGCTCCTCTCACACGCACCCGAGACTTCAACAAGCTAATCAACAGTGATTGTTCTCACCCCAAGACAGGGATCAGTTATTAAGTATCCAATCATATTTTTTGTTGTTGTTGAATGAGTCAAAGAAGATCCTTTCTCTTGTAGATATAAAGCTAAGTTGCCCAGATGGGAGTGTGGCTTGGTAGAAGAATGCTTGCAAGCAAGTTTAATGCCTTGTGTTTAATCACCCAGATGCAACACTCCCCCCCCCCAAAAAAACCCAACCAGCAACAAACAACAGTTACATCGATACAAATTAGGCTGTGGAAGCATTTCAGTTATCAAACATACATACTAAACTATCAGAAATGTTCTGCTTGGTCTGTAAACACAAAACAGTAAAAATACCTATCTCATATAGGTCAGACAGACAAGGACAGTGTATATTCCATATATGTTTGACACTTCAGGCTCTCACAAGCATAATTCAACCACATGCTTCCTTTGCAAATACACTCATATTTGCCAATGACAACCTCCTGAGGCATTATGATATGGACAATACATTACTAAGTTAGTAATCAAAATAGCTTGTAGTCCCAACTTTGCCACTAATTTAACATGTGACCTTGGAAAAGTACCTCTTCATGCCTCAATTTCCTATTTTCCTATCATTTTCAGAGTTCTAGGATTACAGAGAAACTGAAAGCATTCTGAATATAAAAACCTTATGTGAACATAAGCACTACTATAAATCCACATGGCCTTATTCTCAGCTTGATCACTCTGAGGATGATGTTCTGGGTTTTCCTATTTATACATCTGACTCTATTCAAAGGCACAAACTATGTCAAGTTTCTTCCCTCCCTGAACCTAGCATGCATGCTATATTATCTATCTAGTATGCTAAAATACATGTACACTTACCGACCTGAAGGACACGTCCCAACACTTGTTTCAAAATAAGCTAACTTATGAAAGGAACTCCAGTACACTTCCACCAAAGCAGGCCAACTCCCGAGCACTTTCCATCTTTGCACACACACACATAAACACAGCAGCTAGAAACCAACAGACCATCTGGTCTTCAAGACCCAAATCACTTCTTTCCAAAGTACAATCTAACCAGTGACATTTATTAAACTTATTAACCCTCAGATCACTATGTTATGTCTGCGCCTTTGGAGAACACCACAGGTCTTGTTACACAGGTAAACTACCCTCCGAAGATCCTCTCCCGTGCCACTTCCGTCCCTTACTTAAACAGACATCAACTGGATCTTGGGAGATGCTCCAACCAGGCCTACTACACCAACTAACCTGTCAGGGGCACCGCCGACTCCGCCTCCACTCGCTTACTTTCCCGTCCCCCCCCCCTCCCCCAAACCCAGAGCCCGCCGCCGGTCAGGGACACCCCGTCACCCCGCCTAGAGGGACTTCCCGGTAAGCTCCGGATCCCTTTCCCTCCTCCCCTCCCCTCCCCCATCCTCACCCCGCTCCCCGCGGAGGTCCAGGTCCGGGAGGTGTCAGTGGATCACGGGAAGCCAAGGAGAGCGTACTCGGGCCTCCCAAGGCCTGCTCACCGCGCACTACTCACCGTGTGAGGCCGAGAGCGCCGAGCGCAGGCAAGTGGGAAGAGGGGGGTGGCCGCCTGGCGCCTCGGCTCCTCCGGGTCCACACCGTAACCCTCTCCCGCCTGTCAGGAGGCGGCCGGCGGGGAAGCGGACCGGCGGCAACGCGAGAGGAGAAGCCCAAGGCGTAGGTCGGAGAGGGGAAACCGAGGGAAGGCGGGTCCGGCCCCCGAGACCGGGATCGTCTCCCCCTCCGCAAAGCGAACCCAAAATGGCGGCGGGAGCGGCAGCAGCGGCAGCGGCAGCGGCGGCGGCGGCGGCGGCGGCGGCGGCGGCGGCTCTGGGGAGGGAGGGAGCGAGCGAGCGAGCGAGCGAAGGGCGCCTTGTGCCCCCCCCTCCCCGCCTCCCACTCCTCCCTCCGCGCGCTCTCCCCGCCGTGCCCCCCCCCCCCCCGCCGCTCACCCGACTCCGGACGCGCAGCGCGCACGCCCGCCCGCCCGCACGCTGCCGAGCGTCTGGACTGGCCGCGAGCTGGGCCCTCCAACCACCGCCTCCCGCCGCCCCGAGCCGGCAACACCGACGCGCTCGCTCCGGGGCGCCCGCTGGCGCGCTCCCGACTCCCTCTCGCCCCTCACGCGTACCTTCCGCGGCGCGAGCCCGAGCCTCCTCCTCCTCCTCCTCCTCCTCCTCCTCCACCTCCTCCTCCTCCACCTCCTCCTCCTCCTCCTCCTCCTCCTCCTCGGCTCGCCTCCCTCCCTTCCCCGCCCCCACGGCTACCAACGGCAGCCACGGCCGCCGCCGCCTTCGCCCCCACCCCTCGAGCGTGCGCCTCCCACAATCCCCCCCGCGGGACGTTCCATTGCGCGCGGCTGCCGGGGCAGGGGAGAAGAGGACTGGCCGCGGCGGGCGCGGCTTGCCACGGCGGCAGCCGTCGCCTGCGTAGCGAGCGAGGAGACCCGGGCACCGACCTCCTGGGACCGGCCGCCGCGGCGCCGGGGCTGGCTGCCCGCTTCCGGCCGCAGGGCGGGCGGCGCGGTGCCCCTCCGCTGGGCTGTGGTTGGAGCCGCGGCGACTGCGCGTTGGGTCGCTTCCTGCCACCCGACCGGAGTTTGCTTGGCAGTCGCTGGACGGGTACCTCGGATCCAGCTGCTGGTGGCGTGTGCCGGGTGGTGGACTCATGGTGAGGGGGACTGACCCGCACAGGGCATGAGATGTTGGAGGGAAAGGAGCGTGTATCCGAACCGCCCCGAGGTAGGGAGTGAGGCCAGCCGAGTCGGCGACCCTCCGAGAGGGGGCATCCTCTAGACCCGGGGCTCCTGCGGACCTGGCACCGCAGTTAAGAGTTCGAACGGGTACCTATCCTCTGCGGTTGTTTGTGTGCTCCTTGCGCACTTCGCAAAGATTGTGCATACTCGGTTTTCAACTGGCAACCTGATGGGTTCTCAATCTTTCTAATGCTGCGACCCTTTAATATAGTTCTTCGTGTTGTGGTGAGTGACCACTAGTTATAACGTTCTTTTCGTTGCTACTTCCTACTTTGTTGTGAACAGAAACGTACGTATCTATCTGATGCGTAGAATATCTCATATGCGACCCCTGTGAAAGGGTCGTTCGGCTCCCAAAGGGATCGCGATCCTCGGTTGAGAAATGCTGTGTTAGAGACTAAAGAAACCATGCGCTTCGAATTTGTTTCTGGGGTTGATCTTTTGTGGCCTTCGAGTTATTTTTCTAAGTTACTCATGAGATACTGGTCGTAAAAATTAGCTAACCCCAAAATATGCCTCCAGGGTTGGAGTATGAAATAATGAGATAATGTATGTAAAGTAGAATTAGCTCCGAGGCACGGGGAAAATGCAGAATATTATTTTTATCATTTACAGTGCCGTTGATGTTGATAAGACTTGTAGGTGTAATTGGTAGTTCGTGTTTTGTTATCCAAACTGTTGGTTAAACAAGACCTATGGCATTCCTTGGCTGTTAATATGTGTTTCTCAAAACTGCGTTGACATTTAGAACTATGGGATGTTAAAACCCCAACGTTTGGTCTACCAATTTTAAGTACTATACAAAAAGTAAGCAAAATTTTAGAGGAATGAGGTCCTTCAGTTTCCCTTCTTATCTGGGCATTATTCTTACTTTTGTGATTTGGGGAAAGTTTTTAACATTAACTATATTCCATTCGTCTCCAAGACTCGTTCAATTAAAATTCAAACGGTCTTTTTGGGGGTGGGCATTAGAATGTCTTTTGAGTGTTTTTTGAGATAGTCTCTTTAGCCTAGGCTTGCCTGGGACTCTGTCAGTCGTCTCTATGTTAGACACCCTGGTGGTTGGATTACAGGCATGAGCCCACGCCTGGCTTTCAGATGACCTAACATTCCCCTATTACCTGTATAGGTCAGCTCATCTCTCTTTAATAGCTTCGTATGTGCAACTTCGTATGGGTGTGTGCTTGCGTGCCTGCAGACTGTCTGACTTCACAAGTTTTCATAGTCTGTTTCAAAGTAATTGGAAATATTAAAATCAGTGTCGGAGACTTAAATACTAGAACTAGCCAAGTGAAAAGCGATAATCTCAACACTTGGAAGTGGAGGCAGGAGGATCAGAACCTTGTAGCTAGAGTTTTCCTGCCTGGCCCACAGTCAGGACAAATCTCTGTCACCCGCCAGTCCCACAGCCGCTCAGACTCAACCAAGTAAACACAGAGACTTATACTGGTTACAAACTGTATGGCCGTACCAGGCTTCTTGCTAACTGTTCTTACAGCTTAAATTAATCCATTTGTATAAATCTATACCTTGCCACGTGGCTCGTGGCTTACTGGCATCTTCACATGCTGTTTGTCATCGTGGCGGCTGGCAGTGTCTCTGACCCAGCCTTCCACTTCCCAGCTTTATTCTCCTCCTTGTCCCGCCTATACTTCCTCCTGCCTGACTACTAGCCATTCAGTGTTTTATTTACTAACCAATCAGAGCAACACATTTGCCATACAGAACATCCCACAGCAGAACCTCAAGGTCATCCACAGCTATACAGCAAGGTCTTGGCCAGCCTGGGTTATATGAGGCTGTCTCAGAACAGCAACAAAGGATGGAGGGAAGAAGTGAAAGAAAGTGCAAGATTGAAAAGCACAGATTGAATACCGTACTAGAAGAACATGTGTTCCTGTTTAATCCTTACAACAGCACTTCGAGATAATCTTCATTTTTTTCCAGTGAAGAAGCCTCATCTTTAGGCTGTAGTTGCCTATATCTTAAAAATCTAACTTTTCTCTATACCACACTGCCATCATAGTAAAATTTCTTTTATTGTTTTATTATTTTGTGTGTATGGGTGTTCTGCCTGCATGTATGCCTGTGCATTGTGTGTGTGTGTGTGTGTGTGTGTGTGTGTGTGTGTGTGTGTGTGTGGCCAGAAGAGGGTGTTGGATTGAAAGAGATTGTGAGCCACTATGTGGGTGCAAGGATTGAACCTGGTTCCTCTGGGAAAGCAGCTGGTGTTCTTAAGTGCTGAGCCATTGCTCCAGCCCCCATAGTAAAATTTCTTATCAGCTGCATATGTTTGAAAGTCTAAGTGTTCATTTCTATTGCAAATAGAGAAAAATGTGTACTTCCTGATGTACTTCAATCCCATTGTAGCCTGTAACAAGTCTTTCTCTGTCCTGCCAGCCAGCTCCCAAATAATGACACAGAGACTTCTTATTAATTATGAAAGCTCGGCCTATAGCTTAGGCTTGTCCCAGTAGCTCTTATAACTTAAATTAATCCATATTTTAAAATCTACATTCTACCTTCCTTTCATTCTGTACCTCTGACTTGTTATGTGTTTCCTGGTGTCTCCTCTGCATGCCTAGATTCATACCCAGTTCCTCTCCTTGCCTGGAAGTCCCACCTATTCTCCCGGTCTAGCTATTGGCCACTTAGCTTTTTATTAAACCAATCACAGTGACACATCTTTACACAGTGTAATCAAATGCCTCACAATAATAGTCATCTTTTTATACCTCAAAGTTGATGTTGTGATGCGTCCACCTTAGTATTTTCTGTAGGGAGGGGCAGGTGGCTTGTTTTGCTTTGGGTTTTTTGTTTTGATGTTGCTAGAAATGAAATCCAAGGTCTTAGAATTGCTAAGTAAACATGAAACCACTAAGCTACCCCAAACCAAAACACCACATTTAATTCGGTCACCAGTGTATAAAATGTTATTTACGGTCTCTGGATTCCAGTAGCTTTCAGTAAGTACACAATTTGTGTATGGATCGTCAGCTAAGTAGAGGCAAATAAAATAATACTGTTTGCTTTTGTGTTCCTGAGAACCTACCAGAAACTAAAGGTTATTGAGTGTTCAATAAAAAGCACCTCATTGACTGGGCAGTCATGGTGCATGGCTTTAATCCCTGCACTCAGGAGGCAGAGGCAGGTGGACCTCTGTGAGTTCAGGACAGCCAGAACTACACCAAGAAACCCTGTTGGGGGGGGGGGGGTTAATGGGGTGGCGGGGAAGCACCTCATTGAATAACCTTCAGTTACTGAACAACAGAGAGAGGAGTGACTGGGATGAGATGGCTCAGTGAGTGAGGCCACATGCTATGAAAGGCAGGCCTTAGTTCCATCCCATAGTCTGTGGAATGGGAGAAAGAACTGTTTGCACAGAGTTGTCCTCTGACCTCCACTCAAGAACCCACACATACATGCACATTAAAAATACAAGGGTGGTTGTTGTTGTTTGCTTTTTAACATGTGAGTGAGCCAGGCATGGGGGCACATGCCTTTAATCCCAGACTTGGAAAGCAGAGGCAGACAGATCTCTGTGATTTTCAGGCTAGCCAACAAAGATAGGAACAGCAGATTAATTTTCCCACATGTCCACATCTGATACATCTATATGAATCTGCTAGATTATGTGAAATAAAAGGATACAGATAGAATTATGGTTGCTCATCAAAGACACAGAAAACTCCAAATCACAATAATGTAATGTGAGCAAAATCTCCAAACCAGAAGTTGGAGATTTCAAAAACAGGAGAGATCCATGAGCCAGGCAGCCTGTAGGCACTG